TTTTACTTTTATTACTTTAAAGTCTTTTATTTATATTTCGGAGATTTTATTATTTTAATATCTTTATTTTAAGTTTTAAATTAGTTTATTTAAAATTCTTTATAAGATTAAAGAAATTAAACTTTAAATATTATTATAAATATAATATTTAAGGCTTAAAAAATAAAGTAAATAGTTTTTTATAAAAATAATTTAAAATTAAAGAAAAGAAAACTAAAATATAAAAAGCTATAAGAATATTAATATATATCTTATAATATATTAGTTTATAAAGAACTTAATATTTTAAATTTTCTTATATATATATTTCATATATATTCCCTTAATAATATAACTATATTATATATATAATTATATAACTTAAAAATAATTAGAAATAATAAAAAGTAATAAATATAAGTAATACTAGTTAAGTAATTAGATTAGAAGCTGAATTATAATATATATAATAGTATTATATAATAATTTTTTTAATATATTTTAATTTAATTATATATTTTAAAGAACTAATATAAAAATTAATTAATTAAAATAAAAGGCAAGAGAAGCAAATTTTATTAGACTTCTTATTATTTAGACTTATTATTAATAATAAATATTTATTAATTAGTACAATTATTTATTTATTTATTATTAAACTTATTAGAGCTTATTATAATAGCTAGTATTATATAATTAATTTTAGATAAAGGGATTGTTTTTAGCTAAGGTTTTAAGCTAAGATTTAAATCAAGTTTGGCGTTTTAGTAGTCTTAGCTATACCTACTTATCTACTGCCACACCTCACTTCTTTTTCCCTTAGCTTTAGATTCTTAAGATATTGGAATTATAGATCTTTAAGCCTTATTTCATTGCTTTATTCCTGCTATTATACCTATATTAAGTAATTTTATTCAAATAACTAGAGGTTCCTAAAAAATACTTTATTTTATATTTATTTTTATTTTTAGATTTTCTTTTATAGCTAGCTTATAAGTTAATTACTTTAAGTCTATTATATGAACTCTCATATAGCTCTAGTATAGCACGTGATTTCTTGTACTATTATATATATGATATTAACTATAACTAAAAAAACTATTTATATTACGGGCTAGGCTTTTATATAAAGAAAACTAGTGGTTTTAATATAAAAAGAAATAATTAAAGAAAGAAAAAGAAAGTCCCGCTCTTTTATAAGCTAAATATATACGGGCCACGTGTCACGTGCCCTTATAACTATAATAATAAAGGTCACATGACCGAGTTATATAATCGAGTCCAAATCACGGGTCTAATTCATTATATTACCCTCTTCTCTATCAGTGTATCAAATGAGTAGAGTAGAGTAGAGTAGTGGGTCCTACTCATACTCTACTCAACCAATTATAGCGCTACTCATACTCTACTCATACTCTACTCAAGCTACTCATGAGTAGTATGAGTAGTGTGAGTAGGTACCCACGTGACAGGCTAGCCTAATTAGGTAAGCCTCCCATCTAGCGCCAAGTTTCTACCCAATTAGGCAATGGCATTGCTTAGTAAGCGAGCCAAAGGTCAGGGGGAAATCAAGATTCTAAGAAGCATAACTAGTTTATTATTATAGAAAATTAATATTTAGCTAGTCTTATACAAGCCCTAGCTTACTTTTACTGGGGCTACTTAATAAATATCTTTATTATTTAATTATTATTAAATAAACCTTAGTTTATTATTGTCACGTGACGGCCACTCATTACTACTCATACCACTCATGAGTATATACTCTACTCTACTCAAATTTTTAGGACATTACGCTACTCATATTCTACTCACGCTACTCATGAATATTCATGAGTAGTATGAGTAGCATGAGTAGTTCTTTGACACACTGTTCTCTATAGAGCCGGAGATCTACTCGTCTTTAAAGTTACTAGAATTAAGTTCCCCTAGAACCTCATTAATCTAATATACTCTTAAAGTACTAATCTTTACTATATGATTCCTAGAGTTAGCTTCTAATTCAATTAGTACCAAGTACGAGTAATTCCGTATTTAATAACTAGTATTACTATAGTATAAATATAGCCCCTTCTCTTTACGGACTTTAATTACGTCCTTTAAAACCCGTTTTATATGCATCCCAGATATAGAGGCTATATATATTTCTAGGGCGGTTTCCTAATTCATAATTATATTATATGAGCCTATATTCATTAATTAATAGCCTTTGCTATAGCCCCGTTTCAAGTCTAATACTACTTGCCAAGTAATAATAATATAGCCTTTAAAATTCTCAGGGGTTTCTATTGGTATTAGAGCTATACGAAACTCCTTTGAGAAAATGGACTCCAAAAATAATTATTTGACTTGATCCGGCTGTCACGAGCACAAGATCTAGGGCCTGGAAGGCGTGGTTAGACTGTCTCTATTTTGACGATTCAAAGCTAAAGAGAGAAGAGGATCTCGAAGGAGCCTCGGATCTAAATAATCGCGAGCTACGCACGGGCCCACGTGCTAGCTTAAGCTCGGGGTCACGTGTAACCATCAGGTGACTACAGATGCCACGCTCAGATGCCAGATGCCTCGCTCGTTCTAGTCTAACCCCTACTAGTACCGTATATCGTAATAACCGTAACACCGGCTACAAAACTCCGTTCGTAGCTATGAGACTATATTCAAACTCTATAAAGTAGACTGCAAAAGGCTTATTCTTTTACTAAAGTACCATTATTTGCCGTTTACTACTATCCACTTCTTCTTGCATATTATATGCAGTATCTAATTAACAATATAGCCCCGAGACTTCCCTTATTGGCCCACGCTCTTTACTCACGGCATAACTTGTAATAGGGCTTTCTCTTGTAATCGAGAGTGGTAGTACCAAAAACGAATAACTTTCTTATTGTCTTCTATATTAACTTATAGCTTAGCTTGCAGCTATATTGCCCAAGCAGGGTATTCCTTCCGAGAGCCATTAAACGTAGGCATATTGGGCAACCGATTACGACAATAACCTTCTCTTATATTAAGCCGAGCTTGTAAGGTCTGTATAAGGCCCTCGAGGGCTTGAATTCGTTCCAAGAGGATATTGGCTCACTAGGGGGGCAATTATTGGCTATTCGAAGCCATTTTGTCCGATTCGAAAAAAAATTCAACAAAAAGCTAGGAACTCCGAGATTCAGATACTGGCATACGATAATCCAATTAAAGGAGTTCTTTCTAATGTCACGGGCCAGGCCTTTATACAAAGAAAACTGGTGGTTTTGATACAAGAAGAAATAACTAAGGAGAGAAAAAGAGAGTCTCGCTCTCTCGCAAGCTAAATACACACGGGCCACGCGCCACGCGCCCCCGTAGCCACAGCAACGAAGGTCACATGACCGAGTCCAAACCACGGGTCCAACCCGTTACAATCTAAATAAAAAGACAAGAAATTCATGATCTAGGATTTGTAGCCTTGCGCTGCTTTCGAAGGCATCAATCAAGCCGATCAGGCACGGGAAGAGGTGTAAAGAGGCGGCTGCATATCTCGGGCCATTTGCGAGTTAGCGATTGTGGTATTCGATATCAAAGCAAGCCCGAATAAGCGAGGACGGCCGTCACAAAGCGCCACACAGTCCGAAAAACACCAATAATTCGCTTGTGTAACCCATGTATGTCTCACAATAGCTAGATTAGGCGTGGTTTCTTTTTTTCGCGTGCTACTTTGAGAATAATGGGCGTGGCAATGATAAATCAATTCAAATGCGGAGGTGTGCCCGTCTGTCCATTACGTTGGCCTATCTAAATCATCCCCGTTTTGTTGCCTCGCCCTCCATTTGCAACCCATGCAGGCCGTCCTGAGCTGAAGATACGGTAAATTGCTGCGAAATTGAAAGAACCGCGAACTTACTGCAAAGTTATGGATAAGGCGACATGCTGTCGGGGGAGCATGCCTGCAAGGCCTATCCTCCGACTTTGAAATTACGACTACTAATTCACATTCATAGTTGATGGCGAAAGAACTGCAAACCGCGGGAGCAAGCCTTGCAATCAGAGCTCCAGCAATTCCACGATGTGGATCTGGCGGGAATGGATGAGTTCAAGTACCAAAAGTTGCAAATGGCGAAGAGGGTGCGGCTCTTGCAGCTAGGGAGCCCCCACGGGCCTATGGGTCGAGGTATTATATGGTTTGATTGAGACGGGGTAAGGTGATTGCTTTTATATTCCAGCGAAAGGTAAATGATGAGGGGAGGAAAGAGGGGAGGAGGACCGTTTTTAGTTGCTCAGTAGACACGGCTAGTAGAACGCTAACCTTGAATCTCGATCAAGGTGTCACGAGGCTGCTTTTGTTCACTGCAGCCACTAGCGCTTTTGACGAGTCGGTGGGGTCTGGCCTCGATGCTGTGAAAACTCCGGATACAACGATAAAAATTCGCGAAAGATTTTTAATCAGGGGCCGTATTCTCTCCAAAGGTCAGTAGTAGCACGAAATCCCGGCCAAAGTCGTCGAATCTGTCTCTTTGTCCTATATAAAGCAGGAAACAGAGAGCCGAGGCTTGAAGAAGGATAAGTAGATCTCCAACAAGGAGAGAAGCGACGTGTCTTTAAGGAAGTTCAAAAGACGATAGAGCAGCACAAAAGGCATGAAATTTCCTTGATTGCGGTATTAGTCGTATTATAATTTATTGAGATGCAGTTAGTTTTTGAGTTAACCCGCAGACTGCGGCTGAAGAGACGGGTCGAGAAGTATCTGCATGTCTCAAGTCTTATCACGCCCGCATTCTGATACTCCAACTTTGATTCGATACCATGTTTGGTATTTCCTTTTTCTAGAGGCAATAAGCCTCATGTCTTAAGAAATGACATATCAGAGCATGCACGCGCCCAATTGTAGCAGAGGCTGTTCACTGCATAGTTGACTCTGTTGGGGCTGGCTTTACGTTTTGCATTACCCCGCCTCCTGCTCTCTTACTGGAACCATAAGAAGTAGAATGGCAGCTGAATGCTCTCGCATTTCGTCTCTGCGACTGCCGCTTGCGTTGAGAATTAGTGTGAAAATGACACCTCTAATCTTAATCCTTATACATTGCCTAGTTGCGGTTGATGGAGCTGCATATCCCGCCCCAACCCCAGCAGCGCGTCTTGAAGAGAGGCAGGTCTTTGGCATTTCAACTGTCTGGAGTCCCACTGTTGTAGGCACAACAGTTTCGTGTACGTTTAGCAGTTCGAATTGATATAACCCGTGTTTAACATCAATTCTCTAGACGAACCATTTTATTTCACCGACGGCAGATATACTGTTACCACATCAGGCTATAATTGGGGCTGGTGCTTGTTGGGATACACAGATTGCATTCCAGCGACTTCATGCCAATCAGGAACCCTACTCTATCCATTATCTACATATGCTTGGCAAGTTATTCTGAAGCTCTGGAAATTGGATATCTTTTAATATTTGGATAGTACATCAAGTAGAACATGTGGAAGAGAAATCCTATATTCTACAACTGGTGCAGCTCTTGGCCTCACAGGCTTCGCTTGCTTTGGGGTAACAGACCATAATCCCATGACCTTCTTCCAGGTGTCACCGACCATCGGTGAGTTCACAAAGCAACTTGCTTCTACAAATACCAAGCTAAATCCAACTCAGTGCCGAGTTCGACTACTATTAGTGTTACCACTGGTACCCCGAATCCTACCTCCAGTAGCCTCAGTCCTATTACCACCACCGGTTCCCAGAGTCAAACCTCAACTCCGCCGCCAACGCCTCCGAAGCCACCCGTCGGCGCTATAGTTGGCGGCGTAGTCGGCGGCCTCGCTGTGCTCGTCATCGGCCTCGCCGCTGTCTTGCTATTCCTCCACCGACGCAGCCATCCTGCGCCTACGAACGTCAGCACTGCCGAGGTAGTTCAGCAGCAACACCCACCACAAGAACCGTCTCCTGCCGTACCCTATAACCCGAAGCATGCGTCGTACTCAAGCGGCTCTCCAACTACATCAAACTTCCCGCTGCCCATGCATCAGAGTACCCCAGGTCAGAACGAGGTGTCCTATCCGCCGCCGAGTGAGTCGCCGACCTTTTCGAACCCAGTTGAGCTGTCGACCTATACACCAGTGATGCACGGCGTTGGGGACGGGAACACCCACCAGGTTCAGAGATAGTTTGTTGGGGAGCCCGGGCAATTTGCGAGTTTGAAAATAAGAAATATTTCATTGTTTTGTTGTTGTTATTTGATTTCGGTTCTTACGCAACTTGACCCATGAATGTAATAGTCGGACTTAACGTCGCGACTAAAGGGACTCAACCCTTGAGTCGGGGAAAGCGAGTTGTCCCGCACCACACCAAAATTACTATGCAATTGCCGATATCTGCATTATATTATATAACCAAATAACCCTTAATTTAATGCGTAATTAAGAATATAATCTCTTATTAATCTAATACTATAAAATCTGTATTTTAAGCTATTAAATTAATTAATATTACTAATCTGGATAATAAAGAATATAGAATTATCTTTTCCTTACTAATTCCACTATTTATATCCTTTCTTGCCTCTTTTATCTTTTTGTTTAATCTCTTAATTCCTTCTAATATTACTTATATATATAATTAACTAAGAGGGTTCCTCTTTACTTAATAAGCTTATTCAAATACAAGTATTATAGGATTAATAGAAATATTTATAAAGATTATAAAGTCTTTTACTTATATATAATCGAATTTAGCTTGCTTTTTAGCTACTTTATTATAAAGTAATTAGTACTTAATTCGAATAACTTTAAATTCGTTTTTTATAGGTTTATTCTAGGGATTATAAATCGGTATTAGAAATTCGAAAGAAATAATTATATTAACTTTAAGAATTTGCCTTTTTATTTATATTTTTAATTTTCTTATTATTTTCTTTCTTTTTCTTTTTATTACTTATATAATAATTCCGATTTTTTTTAAAAGCTTTTCTCTTTATTACAGGCCAGGCCTTTATATAAAGAAGACTAGTAGTTCGATTAACTAAATAGAATTCTCTAAGGAGAAAAGAAAGAGAAAAACGAGAGAAGTAGAACTGTATTCTTTAAGGTATTTAAGTTCCCTAAGTAATATATAGCTACTCTATTAATTTAAGAAAGCATATTATATAATAAGGGCTCTGGCCTTTATTATATGACTTAGTAAAAGCTATTAGCCGAGTATATAAATCGGGTCTCGATCTATTATATTCTTAGCTAATTCGGCCTTTATAAGTTATTTCTTTGCCTTTTTAAATTGCTTTTTTATTATTTTCCTTATTTTAATTTTCTTTTTTACTAGAATATTAAAACCATTTATTTATTACTCTTTTTAGAAACTAAGCTATATATTTAGCTTAGTCTTATAATAATTAACTTATGCTTTATAAGAGTTCTAAATATTTAACTTTTATAAACTTTTAAATATTAGGTAATTCTTAATAGCCTTAATTATAGTTATATATTTTTTATAAAAGAAAAGGCTTAAAAGATTTAAAATTTTATTATTAAGATTATTAAGGTATAAAATATATTTATTATATAAAGATAAAGGTTTTAAAAAAGTAAATAATTAATATATTATTTTTAATTTATAAATAAAAAGAAATATAAAAATTAATAAGTTTTTTACTTTTATTTTAATATTTGAATTAGATTTAAATTCCAGATTCTTTAAACTAGTATTTTTTCTTTTCTTTTTATTATATTTTTTAAGCTTTCTTTATATAACTTTAAAGCTAATAAGTCAAATTCCTGTATTTTAAAAAGTATATTTAATTATTTAAATTATAAATATCTTTTTTTATATTTAAAAAATAATTGCAAAAGAAATATTAAATATTATATTTTAGCTTATATAAATAAATTGTATTTATAATATTAATCTATTAATAATATTTTTATTTCTTAAAAATACTAATATTATATAATTAAAGAAAATAAGTTTAATAAAAAGAAAATTATATAAATTATATTTTATTATATATAGCTTTTAAAATAAAATTATTTTATTAAATAAAAGAATATATTATTTCTTATTAGGCCTATAATTATTATATTTAATAAAATAATTTAGCTAAACTATATAAATTTCCTTATTTATATATTTTATAAAAGAGATTATAATTATAATTTTAAATATAATTATTATTAAAGAAATTACTTTATTATTTATAAATATATATTTAATTATTATAAAAAATATATAATTTTCTAATATTCTCGTATATATTTTTCTTAATTTTAATTAATATAATAATCTTTTTTCTTATAAGTATATAAATTCGTATTTTTTTCTTATTTATATTATATATTTAATCTTTATAATATATATTAGTTTCTTTTAATGCCGGATAATATTTAATATAAAAATTAATATAATAGCTTATAATAGGCTTTATTTTAATTATATAAAGTTCTAAAATACTTTTTAGCTATTAAAAGAATTATTTTTAAAATAAAACTATTTTATTATTTTTTATTTATATTTATATTATATAATTATATATTATTTGTTTTATAACTTTTTTTCTTTATTAATTATATATAATATTATATATTAAATTAATACTTTATATTAATTAAAATATACGATTTTATTTTAGCCTCTTTATTATATTTTTATTATTTTTCTTTTTTTTATTATACTTTCTTTATTATATCTTTATTTTATATATATATTATAATTATAGAAATCTTTTCTAAATTAGCCTTAAGAAATTAAATAGTTTTATAAAGTTTATTTCTTTCTAATATATTATAAAGAAATATATTATTAGGGACATTATTTAGGCGAGTTATTATTATTAAATTTAACTAATTTTTAGAGTAATTTGGGCTAGTAATAATTAAATTAATTAATTTTTATTATAGGTAATATAAATTAGAAAATTTTGGAATTAGTATAAAATAACTTGCTTTCTCGAAATAACTCGCTTTTTTTAACTAAAGAATTAGGCTCTTTTAATTACGATATTAAGTTTAATTATTAAGATTATTACTATAAAAAAATATTACTATGTCTTTGCTTTAAATATAGCTAATATATATATTTCTTATTACTTAAATAAAGTATATATATAGTTATAAGACTTCTTTAATTAATTCATATAATAATAATAAGTATTTCTCTTATAAATTAAATTAATAGAATTATAGTATAATATACTAATAATAGCTTCCTGTTTTTTGTTCTAAAAAATACCTTATTATAAATAAGTTATTTCAAATTATAATAAAAACTATTATTTATTCTATTACTAAAAACGCTACTATAAATAATAATATTTTAAAAAAAATACTTCTTATTTAGAAAATTTGAATAATAGAAAAGGGCTAATTAATAAGAATTCTATATACTTAATTAATTACTTACTAATTATTTATTTATTAAATAGCTTTCTTACTTCCTTTACTATTAAAGAAAGGCATGTAAGAATACTAAAATATATATTAAGAACTAGAGTACTCGGGATATTCTAATAGTAAGAAGAAGAGAAGGAAAGGAAGAGAGAGCTATATATATGAGATAATAAATAGCCGAGAGTACCTAACTAGTCATGTAACCCGTTACCTGATTCCCTACTATACTATTAACCTTTATATGGCCTTTCTAAATATATTCTTTTATTTAGTAAGAAATATAGCTATTTATATATATATTATATTAGTAACTAATATTAGAAAAGGGCTACTTAGCTAGCTATTTCCTATAAAAATTTTTTATCTTTTTGCCTCTTTCTTGGCTTTTGCTATTTATAAGAATTAGAGAGATTTTTCTTATAATAAATTAGTAGTAATACTTTAAATAATTTTTCGGAATTCTCGAATTAAAGAAATATATCTTATTAATTATATTAAATAAAAACGAAAGAATTATAATCCTTACTCATTTATTTAATTCAAATATTTCTACTTTTATTAAATACTTCTGCTTTTTTATTAAATTCAGATTAAATATTTTAGTAAAGAATAATAAATTAATTCTCTTTAGTAATAAATAACTTTTGAATTCGTTTTTAGTATATACTAGTAATTATAAATATTATTTCGGTTAGTAATTATATTATATTTCCCGACTTTATTATATTTATTAATTAATTCTATAATTTTATTAAGACCTTCTATAATTCTATTAAAAGCTCTTTTATTTTATTAGAAACTTCTTTCTTATATATTTCTAGTACCTATTAATAATTAGATAAATATATCTACTATTAATTCCTATAAATAAATCCGATTAGTTAAGCTCTTATAATTTACTAGCCTCAGATTTCTTTAAAGAATTATTACTATAATTATTATTTATTACTAGTTCTATATTTTTATTTTTATTTATAAATATTGAAATAATATCTTTAGCTAATATATTTGCCCTAAAAAGCTTCTAGTATTACTTGTTTCTTAATAGTAATTATTCTAGCTCTATATAATAAAACAAGAAAAAAGAACCGAATATAAGGCCTGCCTATTATTAGTTATAAAAGAATATTATTTCAGAGAATTAAATCAAGTATTTCAAGAAAATATATAAAAGAAATATTATTTTATTTATAGAATTACTAAAGGCTAATAATACTAAAATATTATATTTACCCGAACTTAATAAATTTATTATAATAAAAGAATAGAGATAGATTAATATATATTATATAGTAATAGTAAAAAAGAATCTTGAGATATATTATAAAGAATTCAATTTAATTTTAATAAATCTAGCTAAATAAGAATTCTATAATATAAAGTTCTTATAATTTATTATTTAGTAATATATTAGTCTTATAGGCCTATTATAGACTATTAAAAAAGAGATATATAATTAGTTTTAGTTCTCTAGAAATAATAACTATAGGCTTTTTATAATATATTTAATTAAAAAATAAGGTTTTTATATTTCGAATATTAATAACTATTATTAAAAACAAGTTAAATTCCAAAATAATTTCTAGTAATAATTAAATCTAAAGACTCATATTAAGAAGAAATACTATAAATAGTTTCCTAAAAATATAGAATATTCGAGTTCTTTATTTAATAATTACTTTTATTAAAACATTTATTAATAGTCTCAGGAATTTCTAGATTATTATTTAGCCTCTAGTAATTATTCTTTATTACTAGATTATTATATAAATAGAAATATTACTAGAAAT